ACCATCGTATACTTGCAAGCCATGAGGTTGTGGCCTACACAATGCATCTTGGAGGACTCTAAAGTCATTTGCAGAACCTTCCCATCCAGCTAATACGTAAGTGAATAACTTGTTTGGAGTGCAAGCCGCTAAAACATTTTGTGTAACACCTTTTCGACCACGGAATCGTGGTTGAAGACTAGCAGGTAGCGTAGCATCAACATGTGTACCATCTATCATACCAATACAATCCTAGAGAACAAAAAACTACAATTGAATCTTTTTTTTAAATTAAATGAACATGCTTTTAATCACAAATTAAAGAGAGAATACCTTGAAATAAGGATAGTATAGAGGGTTGCTAAGGATCTCCTGTGGAACTTCATTCCGTGCTTGTCTTAAAAAGCGTGGTCGTATGTGGCAAATAGCTTCTAACACTTTGTTGAAATACCTACTCACAGTCTCGCCAGATCTAATGAAATGTGACCTAATACTTCGATTTTTAGTTTTATGCCCCAAAATATTCAAAGTCATAGCAAGTTGCTCCTCCACTGTAACATGTCTTGAGTCTCGTAATAAATCGTTGCTCCTCAATATCTCTGCAAGCTTCATAAAAGCACCACTTCGCATTCTAACATAGTTGACACAACTATCACTAAATCCATTATATATGCGATCCAGGTGTTGTTTTCTATTTTGATATTGTATTATTTTCTCTTCACTAGGACCTGCACGTATAGATCTACGTCTACTTTGCATTCTCCTCATGAATACCATAACCATAACCAAGACAGATAGTACAGCACCCGAACACATATTAACTACGGTTTCTTCATCGAGATCACCATCCATCTAAAATACAAACGTCATATTAAAGCAGATAGTAACAGTAAATGAAGATGGTTGTCTAATTATATTGCTAAGGTCCTACTTACAAAATGAAAAGACAAAGCTATTAGACTTGGGTTCAAAAATATATTTGGAAACTAATGCAGACAAAATCAGGTCACATTGTTCAATATGATGACTTCAAGCCTGGTCCATGACCCACAATTATAAATACATATTTTTCTCTTCTTATCCCTAGGTCAGGAAAAATGGTAATTTAACAATATGTGTACATATAGAGAAGAATGCCATTAATAAGTCACTCAAATGAGCTATCAGAGATTTTACACACTTAAAGCTTATAGTTTGTCACCACATTTAATGTTTGCCTTCAAATTAATCATCAATTTGTTTCTTAGTTCGTATTCAGTTCATCAAAACCCAAAGCCATGCTCAAGAACAAGAAAGTCCATAACTATGTACCTATCAACTAATTGAATGCAGACAAGGAGTTTCTAACCATAAAAATTGATTCATTTCCCATCATTCAAAGAAATAAAATGTTTTTCGACTATACTAATTTCTTATTATGCAAACTGTGCCCTTCAATCATGATAAATTTGCATGGAAAAATTTATAACGTAGTCAAACAGACCACGAAATTGCTACTAATATTCTTAAAATTTATAACACGAGGTTGATCAAGCATGGTAATTTTTGCAAACTGTGACCTTCATTCATGATAATCGATCTTCATCAATTACTAATTTGTTTTTACGCAAAGACCAAATGAAATTGCTACTAATATTCATGTTAGCGACCAATTTTCTCAAGAACAGCGATCGTCAGGCTGATCACTTTCCAGCGATTTCGGCTATTTCAGAACGGAAACACATTTTCCTCCAAAGCTCACGTGGCAACGATTTTCCAGCCCCCTTTCGTTTCTGCTTTGAACGAACCAAACAACCGTAAATATTGAAAACTGACACAAACCCCCTTGTCAGTTTTCATTTTTAAGCTTTTCTTCACTTTCAGCCCTTTTTTTTGCGAAACAAACAGGCCCTAAATCGCACTCATCGCACACTCATGGAAAAAAAGCTGCAACGAACTCTGGACTCTCAGCTTTCAAAATCTCCAACTTTTCAAAATCCAAAACACCTCCACCAACAAATTGTCCAAAAAACCCCAAATTC